TGGACCCAATAAACCCAGTGGAGCTAATCCGTGTCGGGTAGAGACAGGTATCTACCTCAGTACAATGGAAGATTGTGGCGCAATTTTGTGGATTGGTTGAAGTTAGACATTAACACCGTTGGATGCCAGCTGATCCAGTGATCTAAAGGTTAAGCATTCGTGCGCGAGATTGTTTGACTTCATCTATTCAGTCATCAACATTGACGATGTTATTAGGTGTTATTTCATTCTTCACCAATATTGACCGTACTGAAAGCAACAATTTGGATATCAGTCTTTTAATACATCCACCGTAACTACTTGTACGATTCGCTTTCCATATACACTTTCAACCTATTAATGAGTCGTATAGACAAAGTGATGATGCAACGATAGGCACACCACTCAACTCACCCCAGTTAACATCCGGCGGTCAGTCTTGAGAACACGACCCTTTGACTTACAATTTACATTTCCCATTTATATACAAGATATACATATGAAACATTCGTCCTTCAGAAGAAAACTAATAACTCAATTTCACACTACACAAATCAATTGTCGGTCGTCTGTGGATTCACTTGACAATACGTCGTAGACGAATTTGAAATTTCCCTCTATTGATATTCTTATGAATAGAATGTCTATTAGTTTCGTAAAAGTTCGTTGGAAATCTCACTAGTAAACATTGAATAAACATTTCAAAATCATCCATAATCTCAGACATTTGAACTCAGAAGCATTACAATTTAATGATTCACATACTTTATCTGTCCAAACAATTCAACAATTTGAACTGAACTCTCAACGATAAAGCACCACGTCATAACTCTCATTCTATCATCACCATATAACAACCAAACTTCTTCGATACTATGGAGTACCTGAGAAAATCGTCAACATCATACGTAATTCATACAACGGACTACACTACAAAGTCGAGTATGGAGCACAGCTGACAGATACATTCCAACCAAGCATCGGAGTCAGAAAAGACTGTCTACTTTACCGCTTCCTCATTATTTCAGTGGTCGAGTGGATTATGAAGACCTCCACGTCTGAGGGAAAACACGGAATACAATGGACGGCTCAGAACCAATTAGACGGTTTGAATTCCGCAGATGACCTAGCCTTCCAATCCCATAAACACTAACAAATGTAGATAAAGGCATCCAGTGTAGCAGCAGTCCCTTCATCAGTAGGCCCCAACATACACAAGAAGAAAAACAAGGTCCTAAATTACAACACGAAGAACACCAATACAATCACTCTTGATGGCGAAACTGTGGAAGATGTGGAATCCTACACCTACGTGGGATGCATCATCGATGAACAAGGAGGATCGGATGCCGATGTAAAGACGAGGATGTGCAAAGCATGGGCCGCATTCCTAAAATTGAAAAACATATGGAACTCATAACAACTTTCAACCAATATCAGAGACAGAATCTTCAATACCAACGTCAACACAGTTCTACTGTATGGAGCTGAAACTTGGAGAACTACCACAACCATCACCAAAAAGGTATAATTATTTAGGAATAGTTCTCTACGCAAGATACTCAACATCCATTGGCAAATCCTGAAGGGAAACGAAGAAAAGGAAAGCCAAAGAACACATTACGTCGGGAAATAGAAGCAAATATGAAAAGAATGAAAAATAACTGGAAAGGATTGTCCAAGACATGGTTGGATGGGGAGTGGTGGTGTGCGGCCCATGCTCCTCCACGAGGAGTAACAGTGATTAATACCATTTAACAGTGTTTACTCGTTGTTGTTGTTGTTATTATTATTATTGGTTTTGTCTTTTAGTGTCATGTTCATATCTCCAACTTCTTCTTCATCATTCTCAAGTTCACCGATCATCTATTTCATACACATCACTTGATCTTATTGACTATGTTTGATTTTCATGTGGTGGTGACGGTGGTTGCGGTGGTGGCAATTTCAACCCGTCAATGATATATGAAATCAATGAACACTTTATCAATCTGATCACTTTCTATTTCTTATCAGATCCAATATATCTATGAAATGGATCCAATATCAGTGAATGATTTAATTGAAATGAAATGTTATTAAACAAATTGTTTTTATTTGCCGCTTATCAACAACATCGTCAATTTTTCCCATAATTCAGGGTTAGATTATGATAGTATTTTATTGTATTCACTGTTTGTGGATAAGCATTGGCTTACAGGTATACTTTTTGTATATGAATTTATAATGAAAGTTAGATAGTGGCTAGTAGTGGAATTTAGAACTCGTGTTTCGTCCTAGCTGAGAGTCGTCAGATGGATGTATCTGCATCTCAGGGCTGATGTTCACTCAGGGATTCGTACCCAGTATAATTCATTTCAATCGCCATCGCGTTATCCACTCAACTATTGAGCCTTCATGGTTACTTACATGTGTAATAGAGTAGAGTTTAATTCACTTATTATAGTTTGCTTGTATCTTCCTATTGGTTTTTAGGAGTGCAGTTGATCAATGAACATCAACTCTGGAATGGGGGTACATCCATCTAACGACTCTCAAATCAGGCGAAGTGTGTGTCCTAGATTCCACTGCTAGCCATTATCCATCTTTGCTTAGAATGCTTGTGAATTATGAGAATATCGAGACGATATGCACAGGATACACATATGCTAATAAGAGAGAGACTGATCAATTTCAGTTCTAAACAACAATGGGAAGATTCAAGTAAAACAACACCAAGTTAATTTGGATTTATAATGCCTTGACATAAACCTATTTCAAATAAATTATGATCTGGATAATTTATTTATACATAAAATTTGGTATGGGTTTGTTTCTATGACAATTGCACGAAATATACCGTTATTTTCATTACTTCAATAGACTTTGAAATCAATATAAGTAATTACGTAATCTCAATTCACTTGGTATTGTTTGGCTTGTATCTTCCCATTGATGTTTAGGATTGCATTTGATCAGTCTGTTATTGGCATATGTGCATACTGTGCGTATTGCCTCGGTATCACATTAATTCACAAGCATTCTACGCAAACATGGATAGTGGTTTGCAGTGGAATGCAGGAGGCGCGTTCCCTCCTATTTGGCACTGGTCGACTGCATGTTCCTGCATCTCACAGTTGATGTCCACTGTTTGGCACTCCAACCCAGTACCATTCGATTCAAATGCTATCTCAATATCCACTTAGCTACTGAGTCCTCACAGTCACTTGCTTGTGCAATCGGGTGAAGTTGAAATTCACTTGTTATTGTTCACTTGAATCTTCCCGTTGATGTTTAGGATTGCATACTGTGTGTATTGCCTTGATATAGCCTTAATTCAGAAGCATTCTAAGCAAAGATGGATAGTGGCTAATATTGGAATCCAGACCTTGTCTTTATTGAGTTTATCAAAACTATTTAACTAGTTAGTGCTGAGCTGTAAAATGGGACCAGCATTAAAATTTTACTCAAAAAATAGTATTGACCAACCATTAAGAGTAGATGATTCCTATTGTGTGATACATTAATATGTTACTGATTTCAATCAAGTTCTAGGTTAAACCTGTTTCTAACTAGGTAGAGTAGATTTTCAATATTATTAATTGCTAATATCTCTTCATCACTTAACCATTGTTTTTGTGGATATTCTAGTAATTTTTAATAGTTGAGATCACCATGAAATACATGAGAGCATTGAACAGCCGTTTCATCCTATTACGGAACTCGTCAACAGTGCACATCCACGATCCCACCTCACAAGATTCGAACCAAGGACTTATCAATCTCGTGCAAGAACGTTTAACTTCTATATATGTTGATAAAAGTATTTACTAACATATGTTCCTTAGATAATAGAATTTCAAATAAATTTCGTTTTTTTTCCCTTCCAAATACACATCTTAGATCCTATGAATTTAAATGCAAAATTGATTACGTCAATGATTCGGAGTTTTCATTTTATTTATTTGACCATAAAACGCAAACGTCAATAGTTACATTATTCTTTTAAGTTGACAATTGATAACCTTCTTCTTCTCCTCATCGAATTATCAAGATTACTTTTCAGTCAAAACTATATTTTCTCAATAAGCAATGATGGATAGCAATGGAATCTAGGACGTGCACTTCATCTTATTTAGGACTCATCAGATGGATGGATGTGCATCTGAGTTGATGTTCACTCTGAAACTCGAACCCAGTACCGTTCGTTTCAAACGCCAACGCGTTATCCACTTAGCTACGGAGTCCTCAGAGACACTTTGCTTGTGCAATGGGATGACATTTCAAATTCACTTGGTGTTGTTTACTTGAATCTTCCTATTAATGTTTAGGATTGCATTTGATCAGTCTGTTATTGGCATATGTGCATGGTGTGCCGACTGCCTCGATATTGCCTTCGGTCGTAAGCCTTACCAGGACTTATTAGCTAAGTGAAGTAAACGGTACTGAGTCCGAGTCTCAGAGTGAACATCAACACTGAGATGCAGGTACATCCGACTGATGACGAAGTGCGCGTCTTGGATTCCGCTGCTCACTACTATACATCTTTGCTTATAAAACTTGTGACTTGAGGCAATATCAAAGCAGTTCGCACAGGATTCACACATATCACTATCAGAGAGACTGATCAATTGCAATCTTAAATAACAATTAGAAGATACAAGTAAAACAACACCAAATGGATTTATATTTTCTCAAATTGTAAACTTCACTAAGTAATTTTCCAAGTTGTTAGCTAGGAAAATTATAACGAATCTTCTCCTGAAGTGTGTGTGTGCGTTTGCGTGTGTGTGTGTGGGGGGGAGGGTTCATTTCAATTTGACAAACTATTCTTTTCATATTGATCTCTTATGAAACATAAATTTGTTACCTACCAATATTCCAACTAAGTGTTACATAATCGATATCTCTTTCGATATGATACCCAAATGATCATTTGTAAAATTTATAAAACAAACATTATGATAAGTAAACTTGTTTTTATTGATTTCTAAGTGTTGCTAATTAACTAATCTACATTGATGAATCCATTAAACGTTAATTCATCTAATAAAATAAACATTAAAACAAAATCATCAATTACAAATATTTATTATTTATATTCATTGTTTATCACTTAAGAAATCAATAAGGTAATGGTTCAGTATGCACATCTTATAGTACTCATTAGTTAGATTAGATATATGAGAAAGATTTAGTTGTTATGTACTTTGAAACTTTTTCACTCAAAGATCTATTTTTGTACGTTTAAGAATATGAGGAATTCTGTTCTTAGAGTCTAAATAGTATGGTATTCATTGAAATGTAACTGAATGCTTATTAACTAAGAAATACTTTAAAGTAAGTGTATAAGAATGATGACGGTATTGTATCTTCAACTTGAATTTATTAATATGTATTGATGATGATGTCGAATGGTCGAGGGATGTCAGTAACAAAATTTAATGATTTTAAGTCAATCAATCGACTCTGAGTGTTTTAGGTGATAGTCCATCAAGTTCTTGAGTTGATACTACTACTGCTACTGCTACTACTACTACTACTTATTTATTTGATATATTGTGTAGTAAATATTTGAGTAGTATATGATTATTGTCTACTCATGACAGTCAAATTGCTTGTGTTAATGCTTTGTATACACACGTTTAACAGATGGTGTACAGTCACTTCTTCTTGGTTGTTGGATATCTGCAAAGGTTTTCACATTAGATGCACTGGCGAGACTATAATTTATAGACGAACCAATGACGTATAAGATAACAGGTCTTGCATTTAGCTAATGTCAGTTCGTGATGAAAACTTTAAATCTTATTCCTAACCTTAACCTTAAGTCATAATTGGAATTCCTCATATTCATTTATAACCCTCATTTGGTCCTAGCTATCAAGTAGACACTCTCAAAGTCAGTCTAGCGTCATTCAAAGATCGTCCATAAATTATAGTCTCACCAATGAACTGTGTAACATGATTTCTCATGGATTAGTATGTTGACCTAGTCAATGAGTAGCAATTAGCTAAAATTCTTGCTTCACAATATACTATCTATTAATTCTAACTACCAATTTATACATCACTACTCTATATCATCAGTAATACATGAAAACACTTGAAGACATATTACTTTATTAATGTGGCAATTACTCTACAGAATGTAATGAGATGCTATGAAATAATTTATTCAGAGTTACCTATTCTGAAAATTATTCAATTTCCAGTGTTCATGGACGATTTCTTTTACTGGAATAATATGATACCGAATAGAATAGAAACAATGTATCAGGTAATAATAAACTACTGGATGGAAACATTGAAAACATTAATAATCTGAATGTAACAATCATTCGAATTCACTTGGTATTGTTTTACTTGTATATTTCCATTGTTATTTAGGACTGCAATTGATCAGTCTCTTGTTGGCGTTTGAAGCGAACGGTACTGGATTCAAGTCCCGGAGTGAACATCAACTCTGGGATGCAAGTACATTCAGCTGGCGAGCCCCAAATAGGACGAAACGCATGCCCTGGATTCCACTACTAGCCACTATCCATCTTTGCTTCATAACAATCATTCGTTTAGAGAGAGAAATTTTAAAGTAAGATGAATGTACTACATTCAAAATGAACTCACTATCCATTCATATTGTACCTAGCTAGATAGAATCAATCCATCAATATGCCATGAATTTCTTGTTTATATTAAACTAAATAGTAATTTGGTTAAACACGAATTTCTTCATTATAAAAACATACTGGACAACTGACTATAATCTATGAAGGGTTCGAAATTTCAATAGAATATTGTATTTAGGCTAAGGATAAACTCTACGTTGTCAAGTCATCTGAGTGTATTGTAGTCAGTAATTAACGTTGTTGATTGAGATCATGAACCGATTGATGTTAGACCACCACCTTTGGAAACCTGGAAGCACTGGACGGCCGTCTCGTCCTATTGTGGGACTCCTCAGCAGTGCGCATCCACGATCCCGCTCGCGGGATTCGAACCCAGGGCCTTCGGTCTCGCGAGCGAACGCTTAACCAACTGGACCACCGAGCCGGCCGGCATCCAATTGTGATAGTGTCCCACAATAGGACGAAACGGCCGCCCAGTGCTTCTAGGTTTCCAAAGGTGGTGGTCTAACATCAATCGGTCCATGATCTCAATCAAAAACGTAATAATCTCCACAACCCCCATACTGGTAATTAACGTTGTGTTGTCGTTCATTTAGTCAATCGGTTGGAGAAATCAATTAGAGGTATCACTTTTGTTATGTTGTAATTTCTCTTCTATTATAACTGAGTGCACTACACTTAACAAGTCCATAACATGATGCAGTGATATATTCATTGTAGAAACTTTTATATTTTTCAATGTAAGCCAATACAAAACACTGAAAACGAAACATGCTCTCCATCATGGAGTACGATAATGTAAATAATAATTCCAGCTTCGGTTTGATTGGCCATCAAGTTCAAGGTCAAAATAGTGAATGGCAATGGAATATATCTTCACTCGTCATTTGGCATGAAAACAATAGACATGATGTACTAATTAGCATAGACTCTGATACTTCAGTCTGTTGTTCATTAACCCTATAAACTGTTATCATCATTGAGTGTAATCATGCTAATGAAACATATAATGACGATTTTTAATTTGAACTTACAAATAATGGTATCGTTAAATGACAATAACAACAACTAAGACGACAACAACCAGACTGAGGTGATGTTCTGTCACCTAATACAACTTAGATTTAAGAAACTGATATGTCTACATAAGAATGTTGAATGAGTCATACTGTGCGGTTGTTTATTATCATTCATTTAACAATTTATAGAGAATGATGAACGAATCGTAATTGGGATTAATGAAGTTTTCATTGTTCGGTTAAAGATACATCTATAGGATATAACATATACTGAAGTATCTGTTTCAGTTTATCAACTTTTATTCCTTCCTCCCCTCAACACATTGTTGAATTATTTTTTTCTGTCCAGTGTTCTTTTACGGGGTGAGGTCTTTAACCCCATGCCCAACGCCCCTTCTTTACTGGAGTTTGGGACCGGAAGTAGCCTCAGAAGGGACTCTCAAGTAGACACATATGCTATAATACATAAGCAGTGATAAGTGATCATTGTGAAATATGAATAAAAACTGTGGATTAAAATAAACAAATTTAAAGGGGATCATCTAGATCATGCACATAATTATCACTGATATTCCATAATGAATATGCAGAAATAAAATCAAACTGGAATTTCATTGAATAATATACGTTGAATTACCTCGACCACGCCCTCGAACTGCTCCTCGACGATCAGCTGAAATGAAAGAGATAGAGAAAGAAAGAAAAAAGTCATTTATACTCAATAAAAATTTTGAATGAATGAAATACAACAAACAAACAATGTTTGCTTATCACATTATGGAATAACGTGATTCATTGTAGACTTCCATTAATGGTATTCCTCAGTTGAATAACTCAGACTAACGAAATGTTTCTATAAATTATAAATTGGTCTGTACTGTATAAATGTATGATAATCTATGTCACACAAATTGAGGAAAGCACTCAACTGTGTCACAAGGCAAACACTCACATGGAACCCTCATGATCAAAGCAGAAGAGGAAGACCAAAGAACACATTACACCGAAAAATGGAGAAACACATGAGAAGAATGAACAAATATTGGATAGATCTAGAAATGAAGTTCCACGACAGAGTGAGTTAAGGAATGCTGTTCGGCGGCCTATGCTTCACTGAGAGCAACAAGCGTATGCAAGTAAGTAAGTAAGTAAGTGAGTAAGTAAATAAGTAAGTAAGTAAGTAAGTAAGTAAGTAAGTAAGTAAGTAAGTAAGTAAGTAAGTAAGTAAGTAAGTAAGTAAGTAAGTAAGTAAGTAAGTAAGTAAGTAAGTAAGTAAGTAAGTAAGTAAGTAAGTAAGTAAGTAAGTAAGTAAGTAAGTAAGTAAGTAAGTAAGTAAGTAAGTAAGTAAGTAAGTAAGTAAGTAAGTAAGTAAGTAAGTAAGTAAGTAAGTAAGTAAGTAAGTAAGTAAGTAAGTAAGTAAGTAAGTAAGTAAGTAAGTAAGTAAGTAAGTAAGTAAGTAAGTAAGTAAGTAAGTAAGTAAGTAAGTAAGTAAGTAAGTAAGTAAGTAAGTAAGTAAGTAAGTAAGTAAGTAAGTAAGTAAGTAAGTAAGTAAGTAAGTAAGTAAGTAAGTAAGTAAGTAAGTAAGTAAGTAAGTAAGTAAGTAAGTAAGTAAGTAAGTAAGTAAGTAAGTAAGTAAGTAAGTAAGTAAGTAAGTAAGTAAGTAAGTAAGTAAGTAAGTAAGTAAGTAAGTAAGTAAGTAAGTAAGTAAGTAAGTAAGTAAGTAAGTAAGTAAGTAAGTAAGTAAGTAAGTAAGTAAGTAAGTAAGTAAGTAAGTAAGTAAGTAAGTAAGTAAGTAAGTAAGTAAGTAAGTAAGTAAGTAAGTAAGTAAGTAAGTAAGTAAGTAAGTAAGTAAGTAAGTAAGTAAGTAAGTAAGTAAGTAAGTAAGTAAGTAAGTAAGTAAGTAAGTAAGTAAGTAAGTAAGTAAGTAAGTAAGTAAGTAAGTAAGTAAGTAAGTAAGTAAGTAAGTAAGTAAGTAAGTAAGTAAGTAAGTAAGTAAGTAAGTAAGTAAGTAAGTAAGTAAGTAAGTAAGTAAGTAAGTAAGTAAGTAAGTAAGTAAGTAAGTAAGTAAGTAAGTAAGTAAGTAAGTAAACTAAGTCAATCAACAGATGAACATTACTAATGAACAATAATCGTTAATGAATGTCTTGATGATAATAATAAAGTGTGATGTGACAGTTCTCGTTTGTCTTACTGTTGATGCTTTAGTAACATTAAATGTTTGATTGTGAGCATCTTCATTTACCTGATGTATCTTCTACAACATTAAAATCGTGGGGATCTGGAAAAAAGAAGATGGTACAAAAACTGCACTTCGTGTGAGTATATCCATTCATTAATTAAGTACTTGAATGACTAAGGGTCATATTAATTGTGATGCAAATAAGAATCATATGATTATGTAAGTATTAATGCCAAGGTTGAATATGGTAGTTTCAAATAAATTGAACATTGATTCGGAAGTTAATGGTAAATATATATTTTTTTGTTTTATCTCAATAAAAGTAGTTTTTGTAGATATTATAGTAATTTAATAGTTAGACAACCATGGAAAACTTAGAAGCACTGGAAGGCTGTTTCGCCGTAGTATAGGACTCCTAAAAGGCGAGCGTCAACGATCTCGCCTCACGAGATTCGAACCGAGAACGCGCGTGAACGTCTAACTTCTAGACCACTGAGCCGGCCAGCATCCAATCCACGAAACCGAGCCACCGTTCACCATTGTCTTCAGTGAGTTACTATCTCAATGAATAGAAAACTTGTATTTATAACGTTTCACAGCTTAATGTAAATCACTTCTGAAGAAGTGGTCAGAAATATAATATAATATTATATTATTAATCACATGGTTTGTTTACATAAAAAGAAAAAATGCTGATTTTCATAATCATTATTGTATCTAACTCCGCCTGTAGCTCTGCTAGAGTTACTGCCGATCTCAAGCCCAGAATAAAGGAGGAGGGTTAGACATGAGGTCGGCAACCTCATCCTGTGGAAAACATGTTCCAAAAAGAAAAAAAAAACACCAACCACATTAAACAAATTAAACCATTATTGTATCTATGCTGATTTTATTTACTCATCTAACAGATTAAAAAAAGCACTACTGCATTCTAATCATTTTGAATACCTTGATTTTTATGTTCCTTTCCGTTACCTACACAAATAGAAATATTGTAAATGGTTTACTAAAAGCTCATATATCATCTCACATAAATACAATATATATACTTGTTTATACATGTTAATAGAGTTCAAATGCTAGAAAGTAGAGAGCTTGATTTAAAATGTTTAACTAACCAACCTAATAGATCTTGAAGCATCAATGATGGATTTCAATTTGTAGTATTCAAAAAATGAATAGACCATCATTTGAGTCATTAAATTTCCTTAATCTAAGATCGTCTATAGAATGTTCACCTTTAATATACTCAAAGAATCATGTCAACTCATTCAACTGTTATGAATTAATGTTTTATAGTCATAAAGTAATTTACTACAAACACTCAATCGTAACCGATTATAAATTCATCATAGATGTATACTAAAGAACTATATTTTTAAATGGTTAAGATCATCAGTCATTTGAAAGTAGACCACCATGGAAAACCCGAAAGCACTGAACGGTCGTTTTGTCCTATTGTTGGACTCCTCAGCTGTGCGCATGCACGACCTCGCCCTCTACGAGATTCGAACCCAGAATCTACTGGTTTCGCTCGCGAGCACTTAACAACTAGACCACTGAGCCAGCCGGCCGGCCGGCCGGCATCCAACGGTGTTAATGTCTAACTTCAACTAATCCACGAAATTGAACGACACATCCACCACTGTCTTCAGTGAGTTACTATGTCGCAACAGTCCTGGTTGAACTCCACTGATCACTACTTCTCACTAGAATTACTTACTACAATATCTACAAAACACATCTGATATTAAATATTTTTTTATTAAACGGAATACACCCATTAATCTTTCTTATTTAAAGAAATATTAACAATTACATTAAATTACACTGAGAAATGGATATATATATGAGAAGAATGGAAAACGATTGGATCGAACTAGAAAAGAAGATGCAGGACAGAGTGGGTTAGAGAATGCTGTACGGCAGCCTATACTCCATTGGGAGTAACAGTCTTAAGTAAGTAAATACATTAAATTATCAAAAACAGTTTCTGTGGATATTATAATAATTTTAATAGTTGAGATCATGAATCAATTGGAGCTAGATCACTATGGTAAACCTGGAAGCACTGGATGACCTTTTCGTCCTAGTATGTGACTTCTCAACAGTGACCGTCCACGACATTCAAATCCAGAACCTATCGATCCTGAGTTATTAAAATCTCTACAAAACCCGCTTCTCATAATAAATATCACATCATATTGTATATAATGAATGTTAAGTTAGTATATTGTCAATGTTATTAATCATATGCTACTTACAATTTGTTGTAATGATCGCCAACGACACGAGAAGAGATATAACGAAATACAACTTCATGTTATGCAACATAATAATACAAAGTGTAATCAACAATACATATGCTTATATACTATGATTTATTATTCTATTTATATCCAAATTTGGATTAATGGTCGTGTCCACATAGAATCCTTCCCCCCCCCCATCTCCCGTTCACATAACTTACACAGAAATGCTTCTAAAAATGTTATACATTCTTTAATATAAATTTTGTTACCTTAATGACAGATATGTACTTTAACCATTTATCATTTTGTACATACCAAATATGTTATCTAGGCACATTTATACAATAAGTTGAATTCAACGCCTACTGTGATGAAAGAAATAGCGGAAGATATAAGGTAAAAGTTTAATCTACAACAACAAAGTTATTCAAATGAGTTAACAATAAGAAAAACTTAATTAGTGATAACCTGATAAATATAGAATGGTGTTACCCGTCGTAACCTCATAACACGATTTAATTACTATCTTGTTACCAAATTAGTATTATGATAAAATACTATCATAATTTAACTCTGAATTATGAGAAAAATTGACGATGTTGTTGATAAGCGACAAATAAAAACAATTTGTTTAATAACATTTCATTTCAATTAAATCATTCACTGATATTGGATCCATTTCATAGATATATTGGATCTGATAAGAAATAGAAAGTGATCACATTGATAAAGTGTTCATTGATTTCATATATCATTGACGGGTTGAAATTGCCACCACCGCAACCACCGCAACCACCGCAACCACCGTCACCACCACATGAAAATCAAACATAATCAATAAGATCAAGTCATGTGTGTGAAATAGATGATCGGTGAACCTGAGAATGATGAAGAAGAAGTTGGAGATATGAACATGACACTAAAAGACAAAACCAATAATAACAACAACAACAACAACGAGTAAACACTGTTAGATGGTATTAATCACTGTTACTCCTCGTGGAGGAGCATGGGCCGCACACCACCACTCCCCATCCAACCATGTCTTGGACAATCCTTTCCAGTTATTTTTCATTCTTTTCATATTTGCTTCTATTTCCCGACGTAATGTGTTCTTTGGCTTTCCTTTTCTTCGTTTCCCTTCAGGATTTGCCTCGTGATGCAGCTTTGTGGTTTCCATAATGTATGTCCTATCCACTTCCATAATCTTTTTCTACTTTCCTCTTCAGTGGGAAATTTGTTTGTCCTCTCGTACAGAAGGCTTTTGCTGATGGTATCCGGCCAATGGATGTTGAGTATCTTGCGTAGAGAACTATTCATAAATAACTATACCTTCTTGGTGATGGTTGTGGTAGTTCTCCAAGTTTCAGCTCCATACAGTAGAACTGTGTTGACGTTGGTATTGAAGATTCTGTCTGTGATATTGGTTGAAAGTTGCTATGAGTTCCATATGTTTTTCAATTTTAGGAATGCGGCCCATGCTTTGCACATCCTCGTCTTTACATCGGCATCCGATCCTCCTTGTTCATCGATGATGCATCCCACGTAGGTGTAGGATTCTACATCTTCCAGAGTTTCCCCATCAAGAGTGATTGTATTGGTGTTCTTCGTGTTGTAATTTAGGACCTTGTTTTTCTTCTTGTGTATGTTGGGGCCTACTGATGAAGGGACTGCTGCTACACTGGATGCCTTTATCTACATTTGTTGGTGTTTATGGGATTGTAAGGCCAGGTCATCTGCGGATTTCAAACCGTCTAATTGGTTCTGAGCTGTCCATTGTATTTCGTGTTTTCCCTCAGACGTTGAGGTCTTCATAATCCACTCGATCACTGAAATAATGAGGAAGCGGTAAAGTAGACAGTCTTTTCTGACTCCGATGCTTGGTTGGAATGTATCTGTCAGCTGTGCTCCATACTGGACTTTGTAGTGTAGTCCGTTGTATGAATTACGTATGATGTTGACGATTTTCTCCGGTACTCCATAGTATCGAAGAAGTTTGATTGTTATATGGTGATGATAGAATGCAAGTTATCATGTGGTGCTTTATCGTTGAGAGTTCAGTTCAAATTGTTGAATTGTTTGGACAGATAAAGTATGTGAATCATTAAATTGTAATCCTTCTGAGTTCAAATGCTGATCCGCGCCTTCACATCTGTATCAGATCCACCGTGTTCATCAATGATGCTGCCCAGATATGTAGATGTTTTTATATCTTCCAAGGCTTCTCCGTCAATTGTGATTTAATTGGTGCATATTGTGTTGTATCGGAGAATCCTGATTTTACTTTTTTCTATGTTGAGACTTACTGCTGCTGAGGCTGCAGCTACACTGGTCGTCTTCTCCTACTTTTCTTGTTGAGTGTGCAATAGAAGAACCAGATCATCTGCGAATTCTAGATCGTTCAGATGCATCCTAGTGGTTCACTGTATCCCATGCTTCCCCTCAGATATTGATGTTTTGATAATACATTCAATCACCAGGAGAAAGAGAAAAGGTAAGAGTGAGCAACCTTGCCTGATACTGGTCTTGACTTCGAACGAGTCTGTCAGATGTCATTTTATTTCCACTACTACTACTACTACTAATAGTAATAGTAAGTAGTATAATAGTAATGTCAACAATATTAACTATAAACTACTTACATATATTGGTGAAGAAATCTGAATGCATGCTTTTATATCAGTCTTTCATAACTTTAATTCAATTAAAAAATGTAGAAGAGAAATAATCATCAATAAAGGAGTAGAATTAAGTAGTGTGTGTATGTATGTGTGTTTGAAAGAAATGATTTATGAGTAGTAAATTTAACTTATTTTATATTCGGTTTCTTCTTTTTTTATTTGGACTGTCATTTTCATCTAAGGTCAATAATCATATGATATCAACAGAGAGTAAGAGAAAGAATGTATGAATGGATGGAAATTTTTCATAAACTAAAGTGAACAATCATTTAATGATATGTGTAGATCATCAACGTTGATGATCACTATCGACTGATTTGGGGACCTACATGAGTTAGACGAGAATGATATAACCTCGCGGTCAACAGCTAACATGGATCACTTCTTTGTCAAACCAAGATACTATGGATCCTTCGAAAACCGTACACCATAAAGAACGTTATTACATAGATATATTAGTTAAAATAGGTACAAGCGAAAATGTTGGAGAGGTCAGATCCCCAGAACGCACTTGATAAAGGTCATAATTTTGTAATTATATTTTGAAAATTTGGATTTCTTAGTTTTCGTGCCAAAAGCGCTCATTTTCACCTTCATGTCGTATTTCCCATTTGGGAGAACCTTAAACGCTATCGGTTCATTGTATCTTTTAGTACGCTATTTTGTAACGCTTCCCAAGGACAGCTTTATGCTGTATATATATGCGTTTTGATTTGTAACTATTGTTATTGCTCGTGTTTCTGGCTGCTTGTGGAATATACTTCCCGTTTCGAACTTAAAATCCTCTCTCTAGTTAGCAGGGCTAGCTAGCTTATTGGTGTTTGGTCACAGAGTCTCTGTTCCGTTCGCAGACTAAGTGAACTCGTAATCGATCCAAACCTAGCAAGAACCATCCAGGATATACATATATATTGAGCTATCAAAAATGATTTATAAAGGTTAAAATGGTTGGAGATCAATGTTAGCTACTTACAAATCCTTATAGTGCCCCTTCCAGCCAAACAAGTTGGTGAAGCCTATTAAGCCCTTCTGGAGAGAGACAGGCCACATCGAAGCACGGCACAACCACGGGGCTAGAATAGTTGTTTCCGCATTCCTTTGGAGTTTACTCAATGACGAGAAACTCTATATGATACATGCACCACTTTCGAAAATTTTTCGTCGTTTTCCATTCCAAATGTAATTGTGCTATGTTTCTCTGTGGATTTCGTAATCGATTGGTGGGTATCGGTAAGAATGGGTGATTAGCCCAATCTCCACCACCCAAGTTACCGCTCACGTTAGTTCATGAGTCATTCGTCCCACTATCCAGGAGGAACGAAACGGACGTGTCAGTCGGATTTTGCCTCCTTATAGTAACTAATTGGACACTATTTTAATTAGACCATGACTGAAAGAACTGAAATGATTATTAAATGTGTACAAACATGTTAATGATATGTAAGATTATGTCTTTATATCTTCTTGCTAGTTTTCAGTGATGAAAGTCAGAAATTACTTTTCAATCAACATGGAACTTAATAAGTTACTAGATTTATATATTCATATGTTAGTATTTTCACTGATTACTTATCATTTCAAGAATTAAAACTTTGTTTCCCAGATTACTGGATATTACTTATGTACTTACTTACAGCTGTTACTCTTCGTGGAGGAGTATAGGCTGTCGACCGGCACTCTTCATCCTATCCAGTCCTGGGCAATCCCTTCAAGTCGTTTCCAGTTGTTATTGATCCTTTTCATATCTGCTTCCAATAATCGGTGCAGTGTATTCTTTGATCTTTCACTTTTCCGTTTCCCTTCAGGATTCCAAGTTAGAATTCGCCTCGTGATGCAGTTCGGTGATTTCCATAATGTTTGTATTATCCGTTTCCAACATATTTTGCTAATTTCCTCTTCAGATGGAAATTGGTCTGTCCTCTCGCACAGAAGGCTGTTGCTGATGGTATCCTGCGAATGGATGTTCAGTCTCTTGAGTTGATAACCATTTATAAATAATTGTACCGTACACTAGAACTGTGTCGACTTGCAGATTGAAGATTCTGACTTTGATATTGTTTGAAAGTTGTTTTGAATTCCATATGTTCATCAATTTTAGGAATGCGGCCCTTGCTTTGTCAATCCTCACCTTTACTTTGGCATCTGATCCTCCTTGTTCATCGATGATGCCTTCCATGTACGTGATATTACTGAAAAGTAACTGTCGTTGAAAGACTGCGTAAATTGCAATAAAACACACCTAATTAGTTAGTTTAGATAAGCTTACTTACTTACTTACGCCTGTTACTCCTAATGGAGCATAGGCCGCCGACCAGCATTCTCCAACCCACTCTGTCCTGGGCCTTCTTTTCTAGATCCATACAATTCTTGTTCATATCTCCTCATTTCTGCAGAAATTTGGAAGACTCTCCCGGTCTCCCACATTGTACGAGTATTCCAT